GAAGAACGCGTTCAATCAGTTGAACGGATACGTGGGCCCAATTGAAATAATGAACACCCACACTCCTATTAACGCCAGCGTGTCGTTTAAACGGGACCTTTTAACGCCCCAATGCGGGTGCTCTAACAACCAAGAAAATTGTACTCCGTAAATATGAATTAGATTTTTACAAACCTTTCCCAAGTCCTTCAAAATGTCTCACCCGATAAATCCACTCACCAAATAACAGCTCAACCCAAGCCTACACAATAAACTATTGCCCCCAACATTTAGCCTCGCGTGAGGTGGACTCATGTGCCTTGCATGAGAACCGCAAAGAGAAGGCTAAAGTTGTCATCTTTCACTCCCGAGAAGGCACAAGATAAAGCATGGGTCAGTTGGACGCTGGGTTTAGCACTACCAACCCATCGGTGTTTGACTGCTTCAACACCAACCCATCCCTACCTCTACCGCAGCATCAACAAATCCAAACCTTCACCCAATAAGGAGGCTGTAGAGATAGCGATCCTACGGCAGCGTATTGTCTATCTGGAGGTCCGACAAATCTCGGGTCCCCACCAACCTTCTACCCTCAATTTCCCTTCTTACCCTACTACATTCAATCTAGTACTCTCCGTCGATCTGAACTCCCTCCTATCTCTACACATCCTACACATCCTGGCCAAGCTATTGCACACCAAGGTGATGATGCCCCAAATAGTTATTTACAATGGGGAATGGAGATTCATACTTCGATGCGCACCTGGGGCAATACACCCCATGGATGAACCGATATAGGGCCAACGATGCACTCTGTCTCCGCACTATACTTTGTCAAACTGCGTTGGATAAATTTAAAGTTGCCATGTCCATATATCATTATGCATTAAGGTTCCCTACTCAAAATACGGGATGGAACACACTAGGGATCAGTGAGCTGCTCATGAATGTATCTTAGCCAACCTCTCACGAGAAATTTATTTCGACCAACTTAAAAAAGACGATGGTACCACATCAGATTTCGGTTCGACCGATGATCAACCAGCCGATCAAGAAGATGATGAACTCGATCTCACTCAAACACTGAGGATACCATCGGGCAAGGACACGGTCTACAAGTGAGATTGATGACATCGACCCTCGTCTACCTTTCAAGGAGAAACAAGCGATCTGAGCTCAACGTGCTGAGGAGGTGGAGCTCTTTTACGTGGACGAGCCACTGTACACCAAACAACTAGGAACCGATAAAAATCCTGAAGAACCATACCGGTCGTAGCTAATTTCACTCCTCAAAGATAACTTAGATGTGTTTGCCTGGAGTCTTGAGGATATGAAGGGAATCGACCCTGACGTTTCCTATCGTCGTCTCAATATTGACAAGACTGTGAATCTCGTCGTCCAAGAAAGGCGTAAAATGGGGCCAGATCGACAGAACTGGAGCAAGAAGTGACAAAGCTATCGACAACAAATCCGTTCGAAAGGCTCAGTATCTTGAGTGTGTAGTCAACTCCATCTTCATGAAAAAGCAAATAGGCAATGAAGAATTTGTATAGATTTTAGTGACTTAAATAAAGCTTGTCCAAAGGACAACTATCTGTTGCCCCCACATCAATTACTTGGTAGATGCCACTGTCGAACATGAATTAATGAGTTTCATGAATGCAAACTTTGGTTATAATCAAATACCGATGCATCCTGGTGATGAGCACAATGTGTTCTACTCAGAACACGGAACTTATTGCTATCGAATGTCGTTTGACCTAAAAAATGCCAGAGCTACATATCAATGGTTAGCTAATTGAATGTTCGCCAATCTTATAGGGGTGAACAATAGAAGTGTATGTGGATGATATGCTTACAGGGGCGGAAGCAGACTTTAAGGACAACGGGGGAACAAACTACGGTGAAAGGTCAACGCCGGAGGTCAACAGTCAAATCAATATTTAACTAATTAAAAAATAAAAAGATTAAATCTTGACAAGACACCCTTTTTCTTATTTAATAGCTAGGGTTGAGTTTCACATTTTCATTTAAGAATAGGGACACATTTGATTTAATCTCTATATAGTATATACATTTTTGTATAATATTTGTTTTTAATGTATTTTAAGAGGAAAAAAAAAATAAACAAGAAGTTGAGCATAGCATAAACATAAATTCCACAACTTAAAAATTAACATATAATTGAAGGTTAAATAATTCTAAAAATTTTCTTTTTATTTTTTTAAGCTGAAATAACATTGCATAATAATTAATAATATGTAATTTTTATGTCAATATAATAATATATTTGTACATATAACATATATATACTATATTACTAAAAAATTCTACAGGGGTCCTTGCCTCCGTGTAGATCAGCCTTTGTATGCTTGTGAAATCTCTAGCTGCAATAAACCATAAAAAACGTACATTCAGGGTGAAGTCTGAAAATTTTTAGGTTATTTAGTTAGTCAAAAAAGGATTGAAGTTCACTAAAAAAATCAAAGCAATCCTTGATATACAACCTCCTACATCGGTTAAAAAAGTTCAAAGTCTGACCGGAAGACTCACTACGTTAAATCAGTTCCTTTCAAGGTCTGCAGAGTGGTGCCGTCCATTTTTTGATATCACATCAAGAAACAATTCCTTTCAAGGTCTGCGGATTGGTGCCGTCCATTTTGTGATATCACATCAAGAAACAAAAGTTCGATGTCCGTTTTTGATATCACATCAAGAAACAAAAGTTCGAGTGGAACGACAAGTGTCAGAACAACCCAAGTACATAACTTTTGTTTCAGCGAGAAAAATAACTGTAAAATTTTCTTGAATATGTAATTTGCTGCTGTTAGTTCCACTTCATGATATTGCCAGTTGTGACCACGGGGACTTTTGCTCTCACTAACATCAGTTCCCGTCACTGTGATGTTAGAACATTATTTCCTTTATTTTTTTTTCTCAATATTATGTTATTTAAATTTTTTGGGAAGACTTTAGACAATTTTTCTGAAACTTCAGTGCTGTGCACTCAAGGTAAACAAACAGCAGCAGTATAACAACAAAGCATTGCTAACCATTCTGCACCTACAAATTGCAAATGCCTAATGTGGTTCCAGAGCCAAAAATTTCACACTGGCCAACCTAAAATGATAATGTATCAAGAAATTAAACACCACATCAGGTACATATCACAACTGTTTGCCAGTGCAAAGAAGTGGACAATATCTTCAAACACAAGAGTATAATAAACAAGCCAGGCTAGAAAAGGTGTGGTGAGAGAATAATAGGAAACAGCATCAAGAACCTCAAGAACAAATAATAAAGAAGTCACCGAAAAGAACGTTAACATTATTGGTAACATCAACGAAAAGGCTCTACCCAAAAATTAATCCGATAAAAAAAGTTATTTCAGGCACACAACTAACTACCAAGGGATAGTTCTTTGGCAGCCAACAACTTACGCCAAAGCAGATGCCGTCGTTTTAGCTTTATCTAGGAGGAGGTGGAGGAACGTTCGACTTTGCGAAGCCTACCCATGCAAAGATGCCAACTGCTAAGATTACCCATCCAAAAATGTCATATTTGAGGTCACTGCTTCTGCTCCTCTTTGAGCTCTGCTGCTATAGAAAAGGCAACATGTAACTAATCGGTCGTTGAAGAAATGTCGAACATGAATTCATCAAAGAAACTATAACTGTCCAAACTAAACAAATAAATTGATTGAGAAACCACATAAAAGCTAATACTTTTGTGTTACCAAACCAATGAAATAATAAAAACTCATCTGTAGGCTGAAACCGTGTCTTGAGGTTCCTGCAACTATTTGAAAAATCATATTTTGGTTTAAAGGGCAGGGGAAAAAACATGAAAGAAATCAAAGTTTGGGCATAAGGAAGCTATGAACCAGCAAATGTAATGCTATCAAGGATGTAAAATGAAATGAGTTGGGTCCAATCGAGTATTGACAAATTCAAGATTGACTGGCTTGCTAATAATTTGAGTTCGACAAAATATTTGAGCTTAATCAAGCTTGATAATTATTAATTATAGGTCACATATTTATCTAATAATTAGTTATTACGGATTACCTGGCAGAAATTACAATACAATTGAAAATTTATCATAATTAGATAATAGAGGCACTACAGATCACGTGAATAATATATTTTATCTCAGTTTGTTAGTAAAATACTTTTAAATGTAGATAGCAATCTTAAAGTCCATCCATCCCAAATCATGCGCATTTTAGGCTACTCTCATGCACGAAATTATATGTATAACAGGGTTCTAAGACAAGCATACTATATTTTATTCACCTTTTCAAATAAAGTTGAATTTAAAATAAAACCACGGAAGGATCTTTTTAATACTTTGTCTTTATTACGAGCCAAAATTTTAAAATACATGTAATTTGGGACATAGAAAGTATTAAGTTGACTCATGTGCTCACAAGTATAGCATTACCTGCGTTTTTTAAGTCAAATTCAAGTGGCTCGCAAGTTATCTCAGGCTCCCTTATGCCCCATTTAAGAAACCATTGGCAGAAGAGGTGAAAAAAAGGCCAATGTTTCAACTCTACGATGTTACAAAACATAAAATACAAGATAATTCACCCAAATATTTAAGTACCCCAGTAGTTGCAACAAATAAAACACTATCAACCTATAGCCTCACAAAGCTAGTAGAACAATTTTATTAACATAAGAGACAGAATTTAAAGTGAAATACATCTGATCTGACCATAGGTGTTACCTTAGTTCCAATAGATAATGAAGGTTCTGCATCCATAGCCTGCTGACCCAAACCATGCTTGTGGATCTCCACATGTAACTCAGGAGCCTTAGAGACAAACAAATAAGAATATAAGCTCATGAATAAGTCGACATTCCACAGACATGATAATATGTCTTCAGAAACGTGACAAAAGAAGTGCACATGCATAAGAATGTATACTAATGCATAACTTCACATAGAATTAAGCAAGCCATTCATTTCCAAATGGACTAGCAGTGATGTACCTTGGAAGACATTTCCACAGATTTCCTATAAAGGTCATTTTTTGGTTCCTGCAGCAACAACAGATGTAATGTAGCAAAGAAAAAAAAAAAAAATAATAAAAACAGGAAGTCCTCATTTAACTGAATATACCAGTTCGAATGCTTGCTCAAAGTATAGGGTTGCCTTTTCAAAGTAGTCCTTAGCCTCATCAAAATCTTGGATTAGGAATGCATTCGATGTGTATGCATTTCCAAGGCACCAGAGAGCATTGGCATTGTTATGGTTGACCATAACTGCCTCCTCCAGCTTATCAATAGCGACTAAAAGAAAATTTAAGCAAGCCAAGCTTGGTTATCAACACATAGTTTGACACCTACTAAACTATCATCTAAATATGCCAATTCACATTCTGTATCGATTAACATGATTCTACGACATTTACTCTCGTCAAAGTTAAAAACAAAATGAATGGATCTTTTGGGTTGAATATAGTCAAAAACCTATAAGAAAAGAACCAACTCAAACCAAAAGCAGCATAGCACTAAAGCAAACAAATTTCCCAATTCGAACTCCTAAAGTCCAGATTTCGAACAGCCGTAATCTCTTCTTGCTTCCATTTTCATACCCGCGGATAAAGAAGGCATTTTTATTTATGAGAATAACTCCAATTTCATGAAAAATACAACTATAAAGCAGCATAAAGAAATTAAGCAGGAGCAAGCTAGGAAGCAGATGTACGTTGAACCATATCTTTGCATTTTGGACCCTCCTGATACTGAGATAACTCCAGCAGCACTCCTCCCCATCTAGTCAAGTTCTGCGTCAAACAATCACATAAATACAACCAAGTAAGAAAAAACGAAAATGAAAAAAGGAAACCAATCANTAGAAAAAAAAAAAAAAAAGAAGAAAAACACTGATTGTGCGGACCTCGGCATCGAGAGGGTTTTTGGCGTAGGTAGCTTCAGCTTTTTTGAGGGCGTCCTCGAATAAACTGCGTTGATCGTAATCAATGGACATGTCCATGGTTTGTGGCGACGGATGCAATTTTTCCCTTGGCCTTTTTTTTATCAATTAGGGCTTCTCCGAGTTGTGTGTGGATTGAGCGACACGTCCGTTTCTCTGTTGGCGAGGTTGTGCAGAACCAGCGGGATGACCACGGGGGTGAATTGATATAAACTAGTTAAAAATCAATACAAACTCAAATTTATTTAAACTTTATTTAACTTAATCTCACTTTCTTTAATATTGTTAATATAATTAAATAATATCAACTAATCATGCATTCTTACACATCACATCAACTTTAATTCAATATTCGGCTATATTTAGTAGACAAATAAGCTAACTTATAGCTTATTTAGTTAACTTATAAGCTCTCTGTTTTCAAATATAGCTCCATTTGGTAGAACGAGCTTTTTTAAAAAGTTTGAGTTTATTTGATAAGCTTCTTTGGGTAACTTTTCAAATAAGGTTGTTGAAAGTTTTATTTCAGCTAGCTTATCAGTTAATTTTACTAAACATTTTTATCATATAAGCTAGCTTTTCAGCTATAAGTCATAAACTAAAAGCTATAAGCTATAAGCTCGAAAATTACTGATAAGTTATAAGCTAGCTTATCAGCTATCAGCTTGTTTTACCAAACATAGTTTACTCACATAATTTTAACTAGCTATAACTTCCAATTAATTTTCTCCTACTTTACCTCAACTCAACTTTAATTATTTTATTTAAATATTAATTTAATTTAAACTTAAATTCTCACTAAGAATTAATCATATCTCATTTTTCAATATTAACTATGGTAAAAAATAAAAAAAAAAAAAACCAATCAAATTCATATCCAATCACACCCTTAGCGTCTTATACTCGCGATGGTAGACTTTTCAAATTCATTAATATATATAATAGCAATAGGGATTTAAGAATGAAAATTCCCGCTTAAAATTTTCAGAGTTTCTGTTGTTAGTAGTTTTTTTAGTAAAATTGTGGCTACTTTCGAAATTCGAATTGAAATTCAAAAATTTGTTATTTGATAAATATATTGTGTTAATTTTACTTCCTAAAAATATGGACATTTATTTCTTTAAATTGGAGATCTGATTTTAAGTAATTTTTTGCAATATGTTCAAAATCACTTGCATATCCAATTAGACATCCTATTTGAGATTCGATTTTAAGTAGTTTTTTTGTAATATATTTAAAATTACTTTCATATCCAACTAGTACGGAACCCGTGCGACGCACGGGGTGAACAATTATAAGGCTATTTGCACAGTCTTATTATTATTTGTGTGAATAAAAAATATTAAACAACCTGTAATAGAAAAATAAACATTATATATTATTAAACATTTTTTTGTACACAACATTTTTTGTTTGTCTTGTAGGCAAACCATTATCTCCATAAACTAGTATTTTCAAGCTATTTCGATTAGCAAAGTGAGAAACAACTTAATATAACTGGTTGTGACTGAAAAATTGACCTTTTCAAGAACAGACCAAGATGTGATAAAAATTGACTCTGACTCTTTTTAATTATCATGACATAAGAAATAATATGAGGAAACTGTTTCGCTCATTAACAAAGCTTTGAAAATCAAAACGAAAAAAGGGGAAGTCACCTTTGAACTTAACCATATTTGTCATATCATGAATTACAATTTTATATTGGACAATTGTGAGACGAAATGAGGCAACATTCCCCTCAACTTAGTATTTTTGAATGCCATAGACTTGGCCTTCTCGAATGTTAATCCATTTTTTCATGTTGGCTGCTCGTATCAGTACGGTGATACAACCTCCCTATATAAACATGTCAAAAAATAATATAAGTACAAATATGTATAAACTAACATTACACATTTATTTTAAATAACAACGCACATCAAATTGAAAAAAAAAAATTGCAACTCACCTCCTCATCGTGATTTAATATTCCCAAGAAGTTCCTATATTCAACCTCAAAATTGCGTTCAATGATTCTAATTCCATGGAGCTTCATGCATGGTTTATTAGTTCGAGAGATGTCCTTAATAAGATCAAATTAGCACTTCATTTTGAATATATAAGAAAATTGAATAGGATGCACGAATGAGAACATACAACTTGATTTAGCACTCAATTTATAGAGGATGGCAAATAAATCCTTAGATATTTTTTCATAGGAAAAAGTGATACAAACAATTTTTTTAGCTAATGCAACTCGATCATAAAAAATCATTCAACAATTTTTTCTCCTAATGCTTCTCGATTCCATTAGAAAAACTCGATTTCCTCCGACTTAAATATGATAATTTGTTTACATCACATCGGCCAATTTGTGATATTCGGCAGTGTATATATATTTTTTTAATACAGAACGTTAGGATGTTAGTTGTATGACAATAATATATTTTTACAAAACGCAAATAAAACAAATCTATACTTTTTTTGACCCGATTTTACTTGACTAAAAAGTAACGCGATAATTTTTTAAAGATGGGACAACTCGGGAAGTTGCTTTATCAGCTTTGCTAATTCAGCATTCATATGTGAGGGAGATCGCCAAATCTTCCAAGAAAAGATATAGGGAGATCGACTAGAGTCATTATCTGCCGATCATGAGGGATCGACATACTCGGCTAGTGTTGCCTTCTGGGTCATCCGCATGTTTTATGGGTTGTTGGTGTTTTGGACTTGTATAGTCCCAAATTATTTGTCTGGTTTCCTCTTGGCGGGCAAGATCGGATCTTAAAGAATTTGGGTACAACATGGAGGCCCCCAAGTTCCCAGGTGTGGAGGAGATCGCCGATGCACATGAGAAGTTATTTCATGGACTTCAATTTTTGTCGATTAGGTTGATGGTTAAGCTGGGAAGGTGTCTCTTCGGTTGAGGCATTGAATTAAGGGATGTGTCGTGTCGGAATTAAGGCATATGATCTTTTCGGACATGTCTCTTGTGTTTCACTCCTTAATGTAACAGGACGCAATAATTCAGTGAACGAGAAATCTTTTCTATAAATAGATGGTTCTTTCCTAGAATCGTGTATGATTAGGAAACATGATATACTCAAATCTATTTCATAACAAGTAAGGTCTAAGGTCAGTTATTATTTAAAAGTAATTCATGTTCTCCTAAAAGATTATTGTGAGGTGATTTCTGACTTGAGCGTCACGGCTTTTCGTTGGGAATCTTCCTGGCATATTTTGCAGGTTTAAGAGGATATCTTCGAGAAGATGGTCGTCTCACAACTTATCTCTGGCCGATTTATTTCCGATTCATAATTTGCTCATGAGGATAGATATAAAGATATGCCAAATCCGAACCATCTCAAATTGAACTCACCTCTAAAATAAATGAAGTACCTACTATTCATTGAAACTTTATAAACCGATAAAAATAAATGATTTATACAGTGATGAGAAGATTCTTCATCTCTTATGACAAAATCCAATCCACTAATATATATATATATATATATATATAAATTAAAATAAACTAGATTTTAAGACAACATCTTGAATGTTCTAAATTCTGTAAGACCTTTTTCCAATCGATAATAATTTGTAGAAACAAAAGGGGCTACTATATGTTGGAGTCAGAATTCGGGGTTTTTTAACCACATTAAAAAATAAAAAAATTAAGTGGACAAAAATAGAAAGAAAAAATAAGGTGTGGACCAAAATCAAAAGCACGTTTTTTGATAATACGTTTTTATTTAAAAAAACGTATTTTTAAAATACGTTTTTATTAAAAAAACGTACCTCCAAAATACGTTTTAAAGTTAATTAAATTAATTATGTTATGAACTTAATTAAATAATAAATAAAACATATTATAGAAATATGTTTTAAATAATTTTATTTATAAAACGTATTTCTATAATACGTTTTATAAATAAAATTATTTAAAACGTAGTTTACAAATACGTTTTATAAATAAAATTAATTTTATAATATATTTATCGAAGAAAATAATTTTTAAGAAAAAAACATATTTTTAAACTCATAAAACAGTAAAATGTACTATGCAAATACGTTTTTAACCCTAAACTCTAAACCCTAAACCCAAAAATGTATAACCGAAATACGTTTTCTTCATTAATTATTTGTAAAATGTATAACCTAAATACGTTTTATTCATTAATTATTTGTAAAACGTATAACCAAAATACGTTTTATTCACTAAATATTTGTAAAACGTATAATCAAAATACGTTTTATTCATTTATTTTTTTTTTTCTAAAAAACAAGTTTTTTCAATTGTTTAACCCAAAAAAACATATTATAAATATTCAAAACAAACAAATAAACCAAAAATACATTAACAAATCAACCAATTTACCCTAATACCACAACAATGGTTTTAAATAAATCATTCAAACAAATCCCAAATAAACAATCCAACCAAATTCAAATAAATCATACTACATATTACATATTATAAAGTATATGTATATATTATATAGTTCATACTACATACTACATATTATAAATTATATGTATATACTATATACTTCATACAACATACAACATACAACATACAACATACTACATACTACATACTACATATTATAAAGTATGTGTATATATTATATATTTCATACTACATACTACCTAGTATAAAGTATATGTATATACTATATACTATATACTTCATACTACATACTAAATTGTATAAAGTATATGTATATATTATATATTTCATACTACATACTACATACTAAATATTATAAAGTATATGTATATACTATATACTTCGTACTACATACTATATACTATATACTATATAAAGTACAAATTACATATTATATAATAGATACTACATACTACATACTACAATTCAAAATACTACATACTACATACTACATATTATATACTTGATACTACATACTACAAACTATATACTATATACTTTATATTATACACTATATACTATACACTATATACTATATACTATATACTATATATTCTACACTATATTCTATACACTATATACTATATACTATATACTATATATTATAAAGTATATGTATATACAGTATACTATATACTTCATACTACATATTATAAAGTGTAAATTACATATTATATAATAGATACTACATACTACATACCACATACTACAATTCAAAATATTATATACTACATACTACATATTATATACTTGATACTACATACTACAAACTATATACTATATACTTTATATTATACACTATATACTATATACTATACTAGATATTACATACTACATATATACTTCGAAATGTTCGACATCTTCGTGTTCGTAGTTTTTAACTTTTATTTTTATTTTAATGTCATACAAGTTATTTTATTTAATATATAATATATATTCATATTTATATATATTATAATATATATGTATATACTATATATACAAGACGTTGTAGTAGCAAATATTCAAATGTCTAATCCAACACAATGGAAGCCAATTCGAGAGAGGCTCCTGCGTTGCCCGGCACGAAAATGAGTTGTTTGGTAGCAAAACTTTGAAAGGCCACAACTTTGCGTAGAAATGTCCGTTTTGGACGCATGACCTATGAATTTGTAGAGCTCGACGAGATCTATCCACCGCAAACTGCCAAAAATTTGGCCGACAAAAATTTGAAAAAAAGGCCTTTTTCTACGGCTGAAGCTTCTATTTTTTCATTCTTTAACTAAGCCTTGTTCAATTGTATCCCTTCCTTTGAAGCTAGGAACTTCCATATTACTGCAGTATGTAAAATGTTCTCATAAAATCCATTCAATTTTGTTTACAGGTAGCCTTTCTTGCTTCTGTGCTAGGGCCAAGGGTGGCTGTTGCCTGTGCCCATGCATCCTTGGCTTCACTTTCTAAAGATATTGACAAAGAAGAAAGTTCTAATGGAGGAATCACTAGATTGAGGACAAATGGTATGTCATAGTTTTTTTCTCTTCCTTTTTCCTTTTCTTTTTTGTTTCCTAAAGAAATCGTCTTCTGATTTATTTTTATTTTTTTGTATGCATCTCTGGTTGTCTCTCTTAAGGTCCTGCGAGTCAACATGATACTGAAGTTGTTCAATTATCAACTGAAAAGGTGATAGCTGCAGCAAAAGACAGTCTTGTTGCTGCAGCATTGAAGGCGAAGCTTTTTGCTGATCACGAAGAGCGTGAAATCCAACGATTATCTGCTAATATCGTAAATCATCAGGTAATTATGTGTGTGTGTTTGCTGAATTGAAAATTCTAGTCAAAATATGTGGTTATATTCTTTTTTTCCTATCTTTATTATATTTTTAGTTCCATGGTGTTCATGAACGGGCTGCCTAATGTCAAGTTCCATGTATATGCAAGAACTATCAGTTCAATTAGTCTCGATTTGGTCATAATATATTTACCAAGAAAAGCTAGTGACTTGAGTTACAAACTTACAATGTTGTGGATTTTCTTCATCTTTGTACTTGTAGTTCTATGGGATCCATAAATGGGATTTGAACTATGACCTGGATTTCTATATTTTATTTAAGTTGGTGCTTAACATGATTTCTTTTCGCCTTTTCAGTTAAAAAGATTAGAGCTGAAGCTGAAGCAGTTTGCAGAAATCGAGACCATGCTAATGAAAGAGTGCGAACAGATGGAAAGGACAAGACAGAGGATTGCCGCTGAGCGGGCCCTCGCCCAATTTGGATCCACTAGTGGATTAGCCCAACCAACAAGCCTACCTGGCATTAGCAATCTTATGATACATAACCCTTGTGGAAATATTAGACATGTTTCAGGTCCTCAACCGTCTTTTCTCTCTGGATATGGCAATAGCTAGCAAATGCATCCCCAAATGTCGATGATGTACCCCTTTCGGCTATACACCCACCACCATCAACAACCTCTAATGCCATGTTTGGTTCTCCTTCGAATTCTCAGCAGTCGCTTGGTCATCATCCAATGATCAGGCCATCGTTATCTGGGACTAAATCCGGTTTAGGTTAGTCAAGTAGTGATTCTAGATTTGGATTTTTGGTGCATTGGATTTGTTGGGAAAGAATTGAAAGTGAAGGAAAAAATGGTGGTTCAGTTTGAGGGGTTTGGATTCTACAGCTAATTGCATGTGACGATTTACCGGGATGACTACAATTGGGGTTACTAGGAATGTATTATTTCAGATGATGGTAGATGCAGGATATCAGATTCGTGAAAGTTCGTTTACTTAATGGATTATGGTATTTCACTTGATGGGTTTTGGTTATGAGTCTTTTGACAGATGCCTTTTAATTCATTTGGTATATATTTCTGCAAGTAGCTCAATCAAAAGACCTCATTTATCCTTATATTCGTCCACAACTTGTAATCTATTTCTGTTTTCCTTAAATCTTGGAATTAACAATAAAAATAGGAAGCTCCAACTTTACTCGTGCTCCTAAACTGTCTTTGCAAGCAAATAAATTTATTTTGACACCTTATTGGGCACAACTTTTATACAAAAGCAATAGATTTTATGCGACGATCAAATCCATCTCAAGCTAGGAATTCTCTTAACTGAAAACAACTGAGAACAAAAAATTATCTGACCATTCCTTCTAACAATGAATGATCTAGAAACAAAATCAACACTTGAAAAAGCTCTCAATCAAACAATTCCACCTTTTCCCCACACAAAATTCGGACCCCTGACAGCAATAAAAAGCTCAATCTTCGTTTTTCTTTTTCTTCTTGGACTTCCTTACCTGCGAATGCTGCTCCACAGAGCCAGCAGAAGTAACTCCACTATTTCCTCTCCGCGAATCTTGGGCCGAGTTGCTGGTGGGCTTGCTCTGCTCATCAGCCCGTTCTCTTTGCGGGCTTTGAAGATTCTCCTAATCCAGAGCCCCAACTCTTGCTTCTGCTGCTCGGAGTAGAAAGGCCGCTGATTTTAGATTTTGTGGGCCTAATGCTTCGAGAGAGAGTCGGGAGTCGCCAGCCGGAGAAGGTTGAGGTGGCCCGCTGGGAAAGGCCCATACTAAGGCTATTACGCTTTAGTAATTCACCTGGCTCCGGATAATGAATCAGGGAAATGTGCCTAGAGATTTTCCCAGCTGCAATCATGATTATTACAGTAAATAAGAGCAGTTAAACCTCAAATGTTCATATGCTAATAACAAAAACTTTTCAAGATGTCTAACCTAAGCAATATAACAAAAATGAAAAGTTATGGTTTGAAATTTTACATATACTCCCTTGTGGGACGCTGACTTGTTTTCTTGAAAATAGTACAAAAATAGCGTAGCATTGGATCTATTCACCGATCTAAATAGGATAATACTTTTCGAGGTTTAGTATTTCGATATGGAAAAAGAATAAAATAAAATAATACCCTTTGGAAAGAGAAGGAAAATGAAAATAGAGAAGATGATCGTGCGGAACAGTTCGAAAATAACTTCACGACATGAGCACAAAGTTAAGTCTTAACATTTAACTCACGAAGTCAAAACTTATTATAGAAAAATGTTCCCAGGATTCAGCCGAGGTTATAATTTGAAAAGAAAGTCGCGTATACTAGAGCGAAAGAAATCTCAAACTTCCTCAGGAAATAATCACTATACTCAAAGGCTGGACAACCCACTTTCGCTGATATCTATACTTCAGAATCTAAATAGAGTTCCATTATGAACTAGAAATAGTCCCATGATAATTTCAAATGATATTAACTATGGTTAATCAAAATACCAACAATGACGAAGGAAAGAAACAAGTAAATTCAAGAGAGAGGAGCAAGAGATACCGATTTTGGCCTCCGCTGTTGAAGTTAAGAAGACATTAGCCTCTGGACCATTGGTCTTACAACCAACCATTTCATATGATTTTCCTGCCAAGGTTACCCAAAAGTATCATTGAACAAGCAGATATTAACAGCAAACCAGAACTACAACCAAATACGCCACAAGACCACAACAAATTTACCAGAAGACCCCTCCAAGGTGCCCAAGTGCCCATCGCGGCCAAGCTTCAACGACACCGATTGCCCATCGAAATCAAGAGGCTGTAACACATTAAACTCGTTCATCAATTTACATCCATAGAGCTACGAATCAGCGAGATAATTACTCAATGTACAAACAAAATGATGACATTTTCGTAGAGAAAAAAAGTACTTGATTGATTGGCCACTGAATAAGCCATAGCTCAGTCGACTCTGTCAATTCGAGGTCGACGAGCGGGTCCCTTTTATCCTTCACAAACCCGCCGGTAGCTTGTACGATGTCTCGACGGCCACATCCATGTGTATCTATCCCAAATCATGCAGATTTTAGGCTACTCTCTTGTTCGAAATTATATGTATTTCATGGTTCTAAGACGAGCATATTATATTTTATTCACCTTAAAAATTCAAATAAAGTTGAATTTAAATTAAAACTACCAAAAGATCTTTTTTAATACTGTCTTAATTACGAGCCAAAACTTTAAAATACATGTAATTTCGGACACAGAAAGTATTAAGTTGACTCATGTGCTCACAAGTATAGCATCACCTAGGTTTTTTTTAAGTCAAATTCAAGTGGCTCGCCAGTTATCTCAGGTTCCCTTATGCCCCATTTAAGAAACCATTGGCAGAAGAGGTGAAAAAGGCCAATATTTCACTCTACGATGTTACAAAACATAAAATACAAGATAATTCACCCAAATATTTAAGAACCCCAGTAGTAAATGAAACACTATCAACCTATAGCCTTATAAAGCTAGTAGAACAATTTTATTAACATAAGAGACAGAATTTAAAGTGAAATACATCTGATCTGACCATAGGTGTTACCTTAGTTCCAGTAGATAATGAAGGTTCTGCACCCATAGCCTGCTGACCCAAACCATGCTTGTGGATCTCCACATGTAACTCAGGAGCCTTAGAGGCAAACAAATAAGAATATAAGCTCATGAATAAGTCGACATTCCACAGACATGATAATATATCTACAGAAACGTGACAAAAGAAGTGCACATGCATAAGAATGTATACTAATGCATAACTTCACATAGAATTAAGCAAGCCATTCATTTCCAAATGGACTAGCAGTGATGTACCTTGGAAGACATTTCCACAGATTTCCTATAAAGGTCATTTTTTGGTTCCTGCAGCAACAACAGATGCAATGTAGCAAAGGGAAAAATAATAATAATAATAATAAAAACAGTAAGTCCTCATTTAACTGAATATACCAGTTCGAATGCTTGCTCAAAGTATAGGGTTGCCTTTTCAAAGTAGTCCTTAGCCTCATCAAAATCTTGGATTAGGAACGCATTCGATGTGTATGCATTTACAAGGCACCAGAGAGCATTGGCATTGTTAGGGTTGACCGTAACTGCCTCCTCCAGCTTATCAATAGCGACTAAAAGAAAATTTAAGCAAGCCAAGCTTGGTTATCAACACATAGTTTCAACACCTACTAAACTATCATCTAAATATGCCAATTCACATTATGTATCGATTAACATGATTCTACGACATTTACTCTCGTCAAAGTTAAAAAAAAAATGAATGGATAAAAAAAAGAACCAACTCAAACCAAAAGCAGCATAGCACTAAAGCAAACAAATTTCCCAATTCGAACTCCTAAAGTCCAGATTTCGAACAGCCGTTAGCAAAAATCTCTTCTTGCTGCCATTTCCATACCCGCGGATAAAGAAGACATTTTTGTTTATGAGTCCAATTTCATGAAAAATACAACTATAAAGCAGCATAAAGAAATTAAGCAGGAGCAAGCTGGGAAGCAGATGTACGCTGAACCATATCTTTGCATTTTGGACCCTCTTGATACTGAGATAACTCAAGCAGCACTTCTCCCCATCTAGTCAAGTTCTGGGTCAAACAATCACATAAATACAACCAAGTAAGAAAAAACAAAAAAGAAAAAGGAAACCAAACAATCCAAGAAATTCCCAAAAAAAAAAAGAAGAAGAAGAAGAACACTGATTGTGCGGACCTCGGCATCGAGAGGGTTTTTGGCGTAGGTAGCTTCAGCTTTTTTGAGGGCGTCCCCGAATAAACTGCGTTGATCGTAATCAATGGACATGTCCATGGTTTGTGGCGGCGGATGCAATTTTTCCCTGGGCCTTTTTGATCAATTAGGGCTTCTCCGAGTTGTGTGTGGACTGTGGATTGAGCGACACGTCCGTTTCTCTGTTGGCGAGGTTGTGCAGAACGCGCGGGATGATACACCAGGGCCACGGGTGTGATTGGATATAAACTAGTTAAAAATCAATTAAAAATTCTCAAATTTAATTCGACTTTAATTGAATCTCACTTTATTTAATATTAAGTAATATCAACCAATCATTCTTACATATCATCACATTATTTTAATTTACTATTTATCCAGTCACATAATTTTAACTAACAATCACTTCCAATCATTTTTCAAATCTATTAATATATAATAGCAATAGAGTTTAAGAATGAAAATTCCTGCTTAAAATTTTCAGAGTTTCTATTGTTAATATTTTTTTTAGTAAGATGGGCTACTTTCAAAATTCGAATTGAAATTCAAAAATTTGTTATTTGATAAATATATTGTGTTAAATTTACTTCCTAAAAACATGGGCATTTATTTGTTTAAATTGGAGATCTGATTTTAAGTATTTTTTTTGCAATATATTCAAAATCACTTGCATATCGAGTTAGACATCCTATTTGAGATTTGATTTTAAGTAATTTTTGGTAATAAATTCAAAATCACTTTCATATTCAATTAGGCATCATTTTTATTATACACGAAATTTACTTATAAAACTCTAAACCAATAATTGCATACAATAATATGACCAAAATTAAACTATAATTTTTTTACCATATCAACGAATTTGTATAGATATTTTTTTATTTTTTTAACAAAAAAAAATAAATCAAATTAATTCACACAATTTAGTGGTTCGTCGGTCATTGTTTTTTGGGTCGTGTAATTTTTTGATGTGACCTTCAAAACCTTAAAAATACATTATCACTAAGAAATCGAAATAAAATATGAGGATTCTATTTTGCAAAAGATTTGTCATCCAAATTTTGTAATATAAAAACAATTCTAAAATATGAGGATTTTATATAGTTTAAGAATATTTTGTAATATAAAAACAATCCTAAAATATGAGAATTTTATATAGTTTAAGAATATAATCTCCTTATATAAGGATATAATTAATCAAACACGTTTTATATAAAAAAAATGTAGCATTCAATATATATCTTAAAAAATATCTTCTTCTTTTATTATTATTTAGAATGAATCCTATATTTTAAGAATTCTTAAATTAACTTGAGAATTATATATAATTTTAGAAATCCAATCTCCTTAGAATTTTTTAAATTAACTTGACGAGTGTATATAGTTTAAGAATTCAATCTCCTTACAATAACAACATAATTAAACAAGCACACGATTTATTTCAGCAAAATTAAATTCAATATATACAAACACTCATCTTCAAAAAATTAATATATTTTCGAAAGTATTAAATCAATCATCAAACTTTAATATATTGTTGAATATTAGTCGAATTTAATTTTCTAATCTAAATTGTGAGTAATATTTAGATTTGTTATTTACTCTAATATATTCGAAAATACCATTCTAGTGCTCGTAAAAATCATCTACCTAATCCTTCCCTTTGTATAAATAACTACTATGGAAAAAATATATTATAATATCGTTCAGTTTTCTAAAAGTCCCAATAGTATTTTCAACTATACAATTGCACACACAAAAAAAAAAAATAAAAAAAATAAAAATGTGCCACTTATATTCTAAACTAAATAATATATGTTAGATATGATATTTCAACGAACTGTTGGATCGTCCATTGCATATATCAATACCAAGGGAATAATCTATTAGACTATCATTAAGTTTTATATAATTCCTGCAGTATTCTCAATTATATAATTGCACAAACAAAATACAACGTTTAAATTCTAAACTAAATAAATATATAACTGATTACATATTTCAACAATAAATCAGTACGAGTAATTCATGTATAAAATATTATTTATTTGATTAAAAATACATACGTGTTCGACCCATTTTTTAAAATATAAATAAACAATGAGTCAATCTCTTAATTGTGGTATTATCCCTTGGGGATCGTTCCTATTCTCCCGTGGGGAGCTTTATGTGGTTTTGTTGTGTTTTGGTTTGTGGCGTCGTTTGTGTCTTGAGTCTGGTCTTTTAGTTTCTAGCTTTGCTAGTTCCGGTTCTAGGCGATCTTCTGACCTGTCATCCTACTTTTTTAGCTGTTGGTTGTATTATTCAGCTAGGAGCTATTATTTGCGCATTTGTGCATTTTGATATATAATATTTTCTATCGTTTCGTACAAAATAAATCTTTTAATTGTAAAAAGATTTTTTAATATTATAATCATAATGCTATATTAATTGCAGAATATGCTATTTGGAGCATAATATCGATATCGTGCCAATATGTTTTATGTTTTACCTAATGTATAGTGCCAACATAAATTCGATTAATTAGTTTATACTCTACACCATGTTTTCTCCCACAACCATTCGGCTCATAAATCATAAATGGTTAATTGATTTGAAATAAATCAAACGCAATATTTCGAGTTAATATCATCTATCATAAAATTCAATACTCTAATTAAAAAACCTCTATCACAATATTCACCGATAATACGACCTAATTACTAATTTCATTTTTAGGCTTAACATATTTGACAATGTCATAAAATCACACACACACACACACACACACACACACACACACATATATATATATATATATATATATATATTAATTATTACGAGACAGAACAAATTCTAGAATGAATAGAATGCATATATGGGACAATATTTATTTTAATATTGTATAAATATTTTTAAATAAATTACATAAGTAAATTATATTAATGTATATTAAATATTTATCGTTATATATATATAAGGAATTCTACTTTTATAAGTGTTATAAATAATAATAATAATAATAATAATAATAATAATAATGACATTATATGACAATAAATTTTAAAATATTAATAGTTGAGTATTATGATGAACAAAAATATGTAAAATTATTATTTTGTCTATATTAAAAAATAAATATTAAAATATTATATATTAATATAAACGGTTAGCAAGCTAATGAATTGTTAAAATTAATTTTTAAAAAAGGTTTTAAGAAACAACTCGCGCATCGCACGGGATACTCACTAATACAAGTACATAATAAATAAAATAATTGATGATTTAAAAATTAGTATCCACGCAAAAGTATTACTACAACAAAATTTTAAAACTATGTAATTTAACACAATATTTTGATGTATAAATGTTTGAATTGTTGATTTTAAAACTAATGTGATGTGTGAAATTACGTAAACTTACTATGTGTGCATTATATTAAATTTTATGTCAAACATTATGTTATTGTCGGCAAAATATGTTTTTTGGTCCCTTAACAGACCCCGTTTTTGCTTTTGGTCTTATAAAGATCATTTTTTTAAAATGGTCCTCCACGTAAAAGAAAATTAGTTTTTTCGTCCTCTGACCGCCCTTAGCACGTTAGACTTACCGGCTACCTACGTAGAAATTTCATTTGATTTTTTTTTTTCTTTTTTTTTNGTTGTAAGGTTAACTAGTATGAGTCCCGTGCGGTGCACGGGTAAAAGATCTTCACTAATATTTATAATTAAAAATTTTTATTAAGTAATATCTATAAATTAAAAATATGAAATCAATATGTAATACAATTACTTATTCTAATTTATTGAAAATGATATATAAAGTTTAAATTGTACAAAATTACATAAAAATTTCTATTTAAAATTAGTACACAACCCATGTGGTGCATATAACTGGTAATAAATCACATTATATTCGTTTCAAAATAAGTATCATTTCAAAAATTTTATTCAGAAATTCGATTTGACTATAATTTGATTCCATAAAATAGTTATTTTGGTAAAATGTTATCATATATTTAACAACCTATGTGAATAATAAGTATAAATATAAAATTTATATCGTTTTAAATAAAAAAATTAAACTATTCAAATAAAAAAATTAAGTAGTTGAGTAATATATTAAACTATAATAATTGACTATTTCGTTTACGTCCAAGTTAATATTAACGCGTAAGTTATTGAGTAATTTATTAAACTATAAATAATTGACTATTTAATTCTATTTCGTTTACGTCCAAGTTAATACTGACTCGCAAATTAGGAATAATTATTTTTTTATTTTTAATTTTAAATAAAAATCTTTTTATTTTTTTCAATATAGTATATACCAAATTTAAACCATGCAACTAAGCTGCAAGTTTTGTCTATATATTATATTCTAAATTAAAATTATGCAACTAATAAAGGTTATAGTCGCAACGTTTTACCAAAATGATTATATACATTAATTACATTAATTTAGGCAGAATTTTTCAAATTTTGGCAAAAAATATTACTTAATATAGTAAATATTTTAGGCAGGAAATCAAATGTTTTTTTTTTTTTGTTGATTTTTAGTTGCTATTTGAAGTAAATATCATTGTCTCTTTATATAAGAATAGATAGATTCAATAATTATTATCATTATGATTTTTACTATCAAATCAATTGATATAAATTTGTATGTTATTGAGTTTTGAAAATTTGATAAACCAAACTGTAGCACGAGTTAATCTAGTATTTTAGTACCTAAAATTTGAATATGTCAGTTCGGAGATAAGCTCATGGGGCAGTCACATATGGCTGGTGGCTCTTGCAAGCAGCATAAGCAGGTCAAAGCCCAAGTGGAGGATTAGCCTTGATCTCTTTAAGGCCCAAACCGGAATACGACCAAGAGACAATCTTGGATTTCAGGAAGACAATAAGTTCAACAATATTAACCACAAAATGTTGAACTTCAACCCAAGGCGGAGCGAGAATGTAAGCAAAGGTCCTTTTAGGAATGACGAGCAATATGAAATCAACACCAACAACAATACTAACAAAGATGATAGCCAAAATGCAGTTGATAAGATGTTTAAGACGTCGCCAGCGGCCAAAATGCTCTCAAGGAATGAGGTCTTTCGCGGGTTTATCTTTGTATGCACCAATGACACAATGCAGTATGATTTAAAGAGAGCTCTTTGGTAATGAGTCTTACTTTAGATTATTGGCATGGGCATCTTTTTTTCTCCTTGATTTGTTATTATCCTAGGGTTCATGCCGTCACACGGGGACCTCTTTATTTACTTTTTTTTTTTAATTCTTTTTTTTGTCTCTCTCTTGTAAAGAATAAGCAACATTATAAATTTGGAGCATAAAGCAAGCACACATGGAAATAAAAATTACAATCATTGAGAAATATACTGGCATACTCACTCCAGCCTGTAGCAATCAGAAAGCGTTGACATATCACATATGCATGAAGTGATGATAAAAGCATAACATTGCAGCAAACTCGGTTTTGATATTCCTTCTATTTAAGGGAAAATGAAGTTGACATTCTTTCCCTTTGGCCACAGTATGTAAACGCAGATATATCAATGTGCAACAGAAACAAGAAATGTTCTGATCTTTTGTAGAAGTTCAGCTTTTACAGAATCTGGTATTGAAGCTGCATATTTTTTTTAAAAAAAAAAAAATCCATCAGAAATAGATTGCAAATTTTTACAAGGATACAAAGTAATGAGAAACAGGTTGATTGAGTTGATCACTTAAACGAGTTCTCATCAAAGGGTCCCAGAGAAAATGATTTGTACTACAGACAAGACATTTTAAGCTTAGGCATATAAAAACTCAATAACCAACTCTTTGTTTTCATTTTCATAATTAGCAGGAAAATTTTGATAATTAAGTTAATTTTGAACTACACACAACATGTTTATAATAAGATCTAAATGTCAAAGCAATGTAAAAGAGGTTACCAGATAAATGGGAGAGTTTATTACCTCTGCCTTTTGGTGTAATGGCACGAACAAGATCGTCTACTGTGACATTTTCCCTACCATTCTTCTTTATAATTGCCCTAAAAAGCACAATTTTTGAATTAGAACACCACATATTACCTAGCAATAAAAGAAAGGTTCATATAAAGCCAGCACCACAGAAGCCAGCTCAAGTGTCGGAGACTATGCGGGGTTAATGTATATGGGTCTCAGCACAATTCATATTTGTTTGGGACTAAAAATGCATTTAAAATTATAATCGTGAAACTTACATTCAGAATAATTTCTAGACAGAAGTTTTGAGATTCCATTGACTCTTTCATTCAGCTCAGGCTTTTGTTCGCAGTTCAGACAAATAAGGGATTCTTAGCTCATTAATTCTTCTGAACCGGAAACCGGATATGAGAAAGTTATGTATATTCATTTTAAGTCACGGCAAATATACAAACAATTAACCAATAATCATATTGGTTATTAAACCAGCAAATTTTTTTTTTTTTTTTAATGTTTCATTGACTTCACATAAGAAGAGAACCAGTTAGATGACAATGCTCTAGCATTAACTTTGGGTATGGAAAGAAGAAGGATACCTGCAAAGAGCTCTCATTTCATCCTTCCAACCACACTCCAACAGCCTCTCCCTCACCAATTCCATCAACCGCTCCTTCTCTCCACTCTCAATTAACTGATAAATTATTTCAGTATTCGCCAAGCTCAACTCAGGATTACAATGAGAATATAGTAGATAAATATATTTACACTGCCATAGACGTAAAAGAAGTAAAAAGGAAACTACCGACCTTAATATTGACGATCTCAAGAAGCGTAGGCTCCTGTGATCGACGGTCATCATCTTGTACGTCCGGCGTCGGCGGCCGATTCACCGAATGTCTTCTGCTCCTGTTTCATACAAAATTACACAGAACGAAAATCAAAAGGAAGGTTTAAAAAAGTTGAAAACTAATAAAAGAGAAGTTCAATTCAAGAGTTTAATTAGCAGGCAAGGAATTACATATGGTGGATCAGTAAACCGGTTCAACCAGAATTCTATCTATGGCGATGGCCGACGGGATGCTGTTAGTGTTAGGGCAATTTTCATAAGGAACTACGGGACATGTCGATATCTCTTATTGAATTTACCAAGATGCCCTTCTGTTTCTTTTTTTTTTTTTTTTCCCAAACTAGTAATAAACTAAACCACAATCAAAATAGAACACATTTTTTTAAACTGCAGGAAAGCTAAGAGAATGTGGAATCGCACCTTTAAGAATTGGGGGTGGCAGATTTGTGCTTTAGACAAGAGTGAGGTCTCACAAGTTAGAATAACTTTCAACGTATATCTTGTGGTGACTCTGGAGGTTAAGGAACTTATGGATTTTTCAGGAGATTTAGCAACCGGAGGATGTGATTCTGAAGGGGGCTTAAAAAGATTAGCGGGAGTTCGTGGCTTTGCAGGGTTTGTGACTGGAGGTTGCTTTGTGTATAGGGTGTTATATTTTCCAGTTATGTATGTTTCTTGAGACTATTTGGTTGTGTTTTTGTTTTCCTTTCAGTTAGTGTTGCTTAGTGGTGCTGCAGTTGGTTGGAGTCTTTGTTGTTGTTTCTGTTAGGGTTGTAAATGAATCGAATCAAAACGAATACTAAGATATTCGATTCGGATTCGTTAAAATATTCGAGGATTCGAATTCGTATTTGATTTATAAAGAAACTCATTTTTTGATTCGTATTCGATTCGTTTAGAATATTCGAACGTATTTAATTCGATTCGAAATTTATTTTCAAAAAAATATTATAATTGAAAAATAATTTTTATGTTTTTTCATGTTTTTAGGAAAAATTGTTAATGACTTAGTCATCGCCAATGAAAAGGTAGTAATTTGGGATGTTTTTACTTCTTCTGTCATAAAAATATTAGGAATATCATAATATATACATATACATATATATTATAAACAAAATGTATATTATATATAATTTATAAGATTTATATAATTATCATTAACGAATCGAATACCTACAAATTCGAATTCGAATTTGTTTAACTTTCGAATATAAAATATTATTCGTATTCAAATTCGCATATTTTGAATTCGAATCACGAATATCGAATCGAATAAAAAAAATTCGATTTGTTTACAAGCCTAGTTTATGTGGTTTGGTTTGTATGTGTGTTTAGGGATGGTTTTACCGCTACGGGTGTCAAGATTGTTTTCTTGCCATTAGTAGGTGCCTGGGTGTGCTTTAGACCATCTTGTATGATGTGCCTCTCAGTGTGTTTCGGCCTTTGGGTGCGTGCTCGGCTTGTACTGAACTTTTCAGTTTTAATGTATATTGAGCTTTCTGTCGTTGGAAAAAAAAATCTTGATCTAAAGCATATATAGATAAAAAATTGATCTAAAGCATAATAAACAAAACCACAATCAAAATATATTGTGTAATCAATTTTAATTTTTAAAGATTTTAAGATTTTTAAAATTATGGTGTATTAATTAGAACTTTTTTGTGCTTCTAAAAAGTCTATTTATATTCAATTGATACTTTTAGGGTAAGGAGTTAAAACTGATTAAAATCAGTTTTGATCGGTTTGAGTCACATGGACTCTGCTTTTTGAACTCATTTTGACTTAAAAGACTTATCATTTTGAGTTAATAGTGTATTTAAACTCAATTCAATTAACTCTACCCACCCCGCCTTGGAACCCGTAAAAACAGGACAATGACACCGAGTTATGTTTGTCTCCTCTCCAAAATAATTAAGAAAAAAATAATAGATCTAATGGTACACCAAGAAAAAGTTTCCTCCTTTGTATGTTTGTGATTTCAACAGGAAAAAGATGGAGGCCAACCGTTCTTCTCCGGTGTGGCAAGTCCAGACAAAGTAAGGAGTCAATACCACGCCACTGTCCCACGAACTCCAAGAGGGGCACGGATACTATCCGTCGGATAGTTTTAGTGTGACCTCACTTGATAATAATAATAATAATAATAATAATAATAATAATAATAATAATAATAAAAAGACAGCCTAAACTTAACCAGATACGTAACCTAGGATTCATTTTACACTAGTACACTACCCGCGTTGCGCGGCTTAATATTAAAAATGATGTGAATGAATGATAATTAAATAGAAAAATATTTTAAAAAACATCTATTGATATAACGTAGACTAAATTTTTTACTAATCCAGTAAATATAGTTCCACAAATATAACTTTAATATTGCATTAATAGTAGATGAATTGTGGTCATTATCACCTACAGTAATAACATTATAAAACATGGATTCGTGACTATAGAAACAATAACTACGTATAATTGTTGTAACTAAAAAATACAATATATTTTTTTTCTTACAATTTTAAAAATTAAATTCATAAGCTTACAAAAAAATGTGATATACTCTGAAAAAAATTATTTGTCACATTAATGACACTCTTTCAGAATTTTTCATAAAAATGTCTACGTGATAACATAATTCCATAGGTAAAAAAAAAATAAAATCATAATTACTATTCTACAAATAAAGTAATATATTAATAATTAAAGTTAACATGTACGAAAATGAGTAAATTAAAATTTATAAATATAAATTAGATACTTAAGAAAAAAATAAAAATGACTTCTATCCGCATGTATTTAATTTTAAATTAGGTCCACATATTTTTCACCTTTTTATTAACAAAATAAATATCAACATTATATTTTTTTTGCATAATAAGTGCGATGGTGATTAGAGAATGACGAGATTGATCATTTTTCGTAAAGTTATAAATAGATCGAGTAATTGCACAAATCAATAGAAATTACAATTCAATGTAATTTTTAGAAATGCACATTGAAAAATTTTTTATGTGACCTCGCTTGATAATAATAATAATAATAATAAAAAAAAAGACAGCCTAAACTTAACCAGATACGTAACCTAGGATTCATTGCAAAATCGGCTTCCTATTTATTGTTGTGTACTCGCCTATCTAAAAATGGTGTCCTTGAATGATTAATTTAGTTTATTTATTAAAAATGCCTTTGGTTGTTTTGAAAAATTAGGTTTCTGTAAAGTTAGATCAAAATTTGGAGAAATTATTGTTAATATCTATATATGTTTCAATAGTTTTTTGTTTTGTTGCTACGTTTATTAATTGCACCTTCATCTTGTTCAAACATGAAAGGTGCAACTTAGTTGTGTTGATGCAAAGGTTACGCCGTGGTTATTTGGTTTTATGTGTCCTAGTGTATATATTGAAAATTTGGCTGTCAGATGTTGTTTATATTATTTCCTGTTTGAATAACAATCATGTTTAATTAAACAGTCTACATTCTGATGTTTTACATTTAGATATTGTGGTCTATCACAAATGAGACAGAAGATCACATATCGGTTACTTGTAAAAATGAATGTTTAATTCACAACTTAGTAGACGTGGCCAGTCAACGGGTCCGGGCCCGGCACGGCCCAGCTGGACCAGGCCCGGGACTGAACCGGACGAAGGCGCGGTCTGGGACCGGTTCTCAGCCAGGTCCCACCGGTTCGTAGACCCGCCGGTTCGGTCCGGTTTCGGCGGTTCGCGGGTCTTTTAATTTTTTATTTTATTTATTTATTTTTTATTTTTATTTTTATAATAAAAAATATGATGAGATGTATAGTGTTAATAATGAGGACACGTCCAAGTAATTGCACAAACATGTTTCTAACATTCTAGAACCCGTAATCCCACTCAGGTCCTAGAATCCTTGTTTTCAGAAAGCCACCGAAGAGGAGGTGAATGAGAGGGCATCATCTTGGGACCAGAGTACCAGACGATCATCGGATTACCGTCGAGTCCCAAGATGACCCCCCCATTCACCTCCTCATCGTAGGAATTGCGAAATTCAATTTTACGAAGACTTACTGCACATATGTTAGTTCAACAATATCTTGATTTTCATCAACTTCATCATGCAATTAGACGTGGCCAGTCAACGGATCCGGGTTCGGCCCGGCCCGGCCCGTCGGGTCGACGGTCCGCTTGGACGAGGCTCGGGCCCGGAGCGGAAAAGGGGCGGTCCGAGGCCAGTTCTGGGCCTAGACCCGCCGGTTCGTCGACCCGCCGGTTNTTTTTTTTTGGTAAATAAAAAATATGTTGAGATGTATTACCGGTTTTGATTGATCGGCGGTTCAGCCGGTATAGTGTTATTTCGTAGGACTTGCAAAATTCAATTTTACTATGTTAGTTAAACAATATCTTGATTTTCATCAACGTCATCATGCAATCCGACTCCAATACACAGTCTCGAGTAATATATTCGTTCTTTTTGTTAGCGGCCTCAAGCATGTTACTTAACGGAAGTTGTCTTCCAAGTTATCATCGTTGGCGTACAAGATGTTGATACTATTATCCCACAATTCCATAAGGGTACATACCTTTTCACCCATCACTGGTACTATTGGATAATGCTATCAAACTAATGTTAAATGTTGATGACTCAACTGCAACTTTATCATTACATTATTTTGCGTTCCTCTGCTCGACGTTAAGTAAGAATTCAAAAGATAACTAAGTATGTATAAACATTCTATTGTTTGTGCCATAGCAGACGAAATTTAGAATTGAAAGCATAATACATAATAAAGAACATTGACGTGACATCACAATTCCCTTTTGTTGTTAATGTTTTTGAGTTAATATTTGAACTTTAGAAGATGAACTCAAAACATTAACTTCATTTAGGACAATGATATCAGGTCAATATTCTCCATTACATATTATGCTTTTAATGCTAGATTACGCCTGCAATAACACAAACAACAGAACGCTTATACAGACTTAGTTATCTTTTGAATACGTACTCAATGTCGAGAAAAGGGATGCAAAATAATGTTATGGTAAACTTGCAGTTAAGTCATCAACATTTGACATTAGTTTTATATCATTATCCAACGGTACCAGTTATGCGTGAAAAGGTATGTACCCGTATGGAATTGTGGAATAATAGTATCAACATCTTGCACAACAAAGATGATAACTTGGACATCATCTATTAAGTAACATGCTTGAGGATACTAACAAAAAGAACGGATATATTACTCCAGACTGTGTATTGGAGTCGGATTGCATGATGACGTTGATGAAACTCAAGATACTGTTGAATTAACATATGTATTTGAGAAAGATGTTTTATAACCCAAACAATTGTC